GAAAGTGTTGACAGATCATTTGCGAGTGCATCCCCCCAATGTGTTCCAAAGAAACAACTGAGGTTAGTCCATTCAGTATGCCACAGTTCAACTTGAAGGATTGGCTGGATTAGTTTGAAACTGTTGAACATGTTATTATGGAATTGTAGGTATTTTTTCATCTGTATTAACTTTTCAAACATCAACCCATCCCCTCCCACCAATATTAGGTGTGGATGGTAGCTTTGCAAGTCCTGGCCCATTTGTGAGAAAAAGTTGAGCGTGGCATCCTTTAGCTCAGTTGTCAGAATTTTGTTGAAACCATTGGTTGCAAGGGGATGAATTTTTGTTTTCTGAGGAGTATGTAAGTCTTCTTTTTAATTGACTGATGGTCAGGTGATAGGTGACTAGGGATTCTACAGCCAGTGTTGCATTTGGGATACTAATACAACAACTTGGTCAAAAGATGGTTTGGTGAGTTTTATAGCTGCTTATTTTGTTTTCTGACTTTAAGTAACACACTATATGACTGTAGAGCTTTATCTGACATATTTTGACTCGCCAAAAACACCTTTCCAAGACGAGTGGCCCAATGGTGATATAAACACTATTTCAGTGCTGGTGACACATATTTTAGTACCAATATATGATGATTCTGGTGAGTAGATTTCGCTGAAGCTTCATTATAAGTTAATGTTAACTGATATGTTATTTAGGAACTATCTGTGGTTATGTCCAACGTGAGCAACAGCCAACTGGACAGATGCGGCAACATCTGGCAAATAGTAATAGCCTTAACCCCACTATCCAGCTAATGACAGTGCCAGTAAAGCGCAAAAAGAATAATGGTGGTATCATATCACAGAAAACCACAGGTATGAGCACTCTGTTACGATAACACATTTTTGGACCTTTAACTTTCATATACATGGATGATATGCTTATATTCAGCAAGGGACCAGAAGAACACGTCCTACGGACAAAACGGGTATTGCAACGCCTGCACGATAATGACCTATACCTGAAACTAGAAAAATGCATGTTTGATGTAAATGAGATTGAATATCTCGGCATGATCATCTGTCACAACCAGGTAAAAATGGACCCCGTCAAGCTGGCAGGAATCAAAGACTGGCCTACCCCAACCAATATCCACGTAGTCTGAAATTCCTTGGCTTTGGTAACTTCTATCGCAAATTTATCAGCCGCTACTCAGAACTCGCAAGGCCACTCAATGTGCTATTACAGTAAAAAAGGATTTGGAACTGGACCACAACAGAAGAAAAGGCATTTACACTACTAAAATACTGTTTCAGCGTAGTGCCAGTCACCCAAATACCAGACCCAAACAAACCATCCCAAATTGCAGCAGATGCATCAAAACACGCAACTGGAGCGGTTTTGAACCAGCCCGATGACAATGGAGTTTGGCATCCATGTACCTTCTTCTCCAAAATGTTATCACCAGCCACATGCTAAACATCAGACTTTAAACTTTATTTACAACTGTACAGTACCTCATGTATTTTAGTATATATACAGGAGCAATACATGGGGAGGGACTCAGTGAGTCCTCCTGTTGTCTACCAACAACTAACTCGGTCCTACCAAATGGGTAACCACTCCCACCTTTTCCTCTTCTTCTGCTTGTTGTAGTTGTGCTCCAGTGCCCCAAGACTGTGTCTTGTTGGTGTTGTCACAATTTGGTAACTGCCAGACACCCAGGACAACTAAAAATAACCCAATTAGTAACAAGACATTACTACTGGCCGTGTATGACGCAGATGATCAAAGATTA